GCAAACTGAAGCTGTGAACAATCTCAATCTCTTCACCATCCATCCTGATGCTGCCAATTGGCCCAGTGGTGAGAATCTTTGTCTTCTTGACACTGAGACTCAATCCATATCGGATGACTGCCTCCAAAAACCTGCTGGAGGGTCAGCCATGATCAGTTTCAACTTGATGGTTGTTGTTGTTGTTAAGTAACATAGAGTCAAGTACAACTCATAGTCACATTATGAATAAAAGACCTAAACTCTATTCTATAACTATCATTGTTTCTCTATGTTTATAGAGTTTCCAGAGGCATACGGTTTAGGAAGTGGATGCCACTTCTGCTTCCAAACCTGAATCAATCTGGGAGTTCCATGAAACACTGTCCACACTGGGTTACCATTATGGCATTTGCCATACCTATGGCACAGCATTCAGCAACCCCAAGCTACTTCAGTACAACAACTAGACAGATTATTTCTATACCACTTAAAAGAATGTTCATCCCAAAATGAATTAAAGCTGGTTCCTTGGGCTACAGGCCCTTGGGCCCTACTGCTTTTTAAATACAGGCACACCCACCAAGTGCTGGTTGACTGTAAACCAAGAGACTTCCAGCTCACAGCTCATTCTTAGCTAAATCTGACAAGTCCAATCAGCTGACACCCAATTGTGACTGAAAAAACCAAAAATAATGAAGTTTTCCAATGTATGAATGTAGGGGTCTTCCTTTTTTTCATTGACACTTCACTCTTCCAAGCATGATATCCTTTTCCAATGAATAGCCTCTCCTATCTTGGGTGGCTATCTCTTTACTCTGGAGATGGCTGGATGACAATTAGCAGCTTCTCCATTTTGGGGTTTCTGCACAAAAGGTGGCAAGACCTTCTTGACATGTAATGCCATGTCATATGGAGGTGAGACAGAAAGTCAGGTTGAGAAAAGTTAAATCATGTAAATGTACCAAAGTTTCTTTAGCCATTTGTCTATTGGTGGACACTTGTGTTGTTTCTAACTCTGCTATTGATGTGCATATGTCAGTTCATGTGGCAGCTCTTATTTCTTTAGGATATGTATCTAATAGTGAGATTGCTGGATCAAATGGTATCTCTATTTTCTAAAGAAGCATCAAACTCCTTTCCGTAATGGTTTTACCATTTTACATTCCCACCAGTAGTGTATGAGTTTCAATCTCTTTGAATCCTCACCAGCATTTGTTACTTTCTGTCTTGTTAAACTTTGCCTTTGCTTCTGAGATATCTATTGTTTGATTTACATCTAATGCCTAATGACCTTGAGCATTTCTTCATGTGTTCATTGGCCACCTGAATGTCTTGCTTGTTGAAGTCTTTTCATGACCTCTGTCATTTTATAAATGAGTTTTTTGTCTTTTTATTGTTGACAATGTGTTGGAGATTGCCTGTTATTTTAGCGTAAGGTAGTAAGTAAACAAGGTGAATTTCAGTAAAAAGATTAAAGTTTCTGAAAAAAGAAAAGATTATTTTCTGAATGTGAATGCAACATAATTAAACACTAGATAGATAGATTCTGTTCTTTCTATTATTAAATATTAATTTTAGAAATAAAAGAGTATGTTACACACCCCTGTAATACACCTTCACCATTAATCATGTGGACTTTTTCCAACATGAGAAGAATGCCTAGCATAGAGCTTCCTTAAACCCTTCATGTGGCTAAAATAAATGGATTTAGAAATTTTAAATATATATTCTTCTAGCAAAATGATCTTATTTATTAGCATAAAAACTCATTAATTATGGATATACTTCATGTTACATTGTTGCTACTGTTATGTGCAATTGTATTTCCTGTGACTCATAGCAACCCTAAGCACAATAGCTCTGAACCCTGCCTACTTCTTAGCCAATCTCACTGATCCCAACACATCTAATCCTGTTGCCCCAGTTACTGTGTCAATCTATCCCATCTGGATTCTTCCTTGCCTGCATTATATTTCCACACTTCCAAATATGATGTCTTTCTCCAAGGACTAGTTCCTCCTGGCAACATGTCCAAACTATGTGAGATGGAGCTTCTAAATCCTTGTCTTCAAGGAGCAACTTGGTTTCTTCTCTCCAAGACAGACCTATTTGTTCTCCTGGAAGTCCATGTTCAACGCTCTTCTCCAGCACCAAACTCAAAGGCATCTATTCTTATATTTTCATCCTTATTCATTGTCCAGCTTTCAGCCTGGATCAGATACCTCCTAGTCTCTCGACTGCCATCATTGTTCTTTAACACTTTGGAGAAGTCCCTGACAGCAGACTTCCCAATTCAATTTTTTTTCTGATTACCTGATTGCTGGTGCCAAGAGTGTTGACTGTGGAGCCAAGCAAGCTGTAATTCATTATTAACAGCCTCAATCTCTTCTCCATCCATCATGGTGCTGCCACTTGGTCCAGAGGTGAGAATCTTTGTCTTTTTTATGTTAAGCTTCAATCCATATTGAAGACTACAGTCCTTGACTTTCTGCAGCAAACACTTCAGGCCCTCCCCAGTTTTGGAAAGCAAGGTTGTATCCTCTACATAACACAGATTATTGATGAGTCTTCTTCCAATCCTGATGCCACACTCCTGTTTGCACACAAATTGAAAAGGACCTAACTCTGATGCACTCTGTTTCTGATTTTGAACCATGTTTCCTTGTTCTGCTCTGAAGACTGCTTCCAGGTCCAACTATAGGTTTTGCATGAGCACAAACAAGTGTTCTAGGATCCTGATTCTTCTCAAGGTTAGACACAATTTATTGTGATTCTACACAGTCAAATAAATGTCAATGAAACACAAATAGACATTTCTCTGGTCCTCTTCGCTTTTATCCAAGATCCAACTGACATTGGCAATAATGTCTCTAGTGCCACAGCCTCTTCTAAACCCACCTTGAATTTCTGACAGCTTTCTGTTAATATACTGTTCCAGTCATTTGGGGATAATCTTCAGCAGGCTTTTGCTTGAGTATAATATAATTGTTTGATAATTTCCACACATTTTTGGGTCACCATTTTGGGGAGTAGGAATAAATATGGATCTCTTCCAGTCAACAGGCCAGATAGTTGTCCTTCAGATTTCTTGGCACTGCCTGGTAAGCACGTCCATGGCAGCATCTATTTGTTGAAATATGCTGTCAACTCCTGGGCTTTGTTTTTGCCAAGTCCTTCAGAAGATCCTGAACTTCCTCT